TTGACAAATGTATATATCTGTGTAACCACCTGAATAAGCAAGTTATTTCTGGTACCCCAGAACCTTCCCTCATGCCTATTCCCAGATAAGCTGCCTACATAACTGGGACACTGTTCCTGCTTCTATCACCATAGATTAAAGTTGACTGTTCTGGAATATCACAAAATTAGAATTTTACAGCAGGTACTTGTATATGTCTGGCATAATGTTTTTGAGATTTGTCTATGTTAATTAATCCTCACAGCCTTACCCTGTTATAGAGAGCACTGCCCCCATTTTACAGATAAGGAGACTGAGGCTCAGAAAATGGAGAGATTTGTAGCCAGGTCATTTGGCTTCGTAGGATGGGAATTCCAGTCCAGACATGCCAAGTCTAAGCTGAGAGGTTAATTTTCAAAATCCACCCCCACCCCCTAAAACCATGAATGGAGAAAAAGTAAAATCAACCAAGAATGCTCAGGGTTTCAGCCAAAAAGGCCTGTCTTGAGGAAGCAATTTAAAATATAAAATACAGAGGTCGGAATAAACTTTTTAAGATTCAAGGGAAGACTGGAAGAGCCAGTCTCATAGCAGGCAACTGACTGTTGTGAAATCTAAGAAGTAATGCAAGATGAAATAAGAATACGATAAAAATTTTGTTCATGCTGGTATTAAAAGTAGTAAGATGTTGACGATTTAGGTCTCTGAAGGCTCCTTTATATGAGTTGCTATTATCTAGCTCAGCTGCTGAAACCTGCAGTTTTAAAGGCAGGAGAGTGGAACATCCTGTGATAGCACCTGGGTTATTTATCATTAAGTATAACCCTGCTACACTATATTTTATTATGCTGCCTTTAAAAAAGATAATACAAGTATGGTTAATTTGCTTCTCTTCTTTATCTGTACAGTGTCATGACCCACCATGGCTTTGTCCCATGAGATTTGTTTTTTTAACCAAAAAGAAATCCACAAGAAACTCTCCCTAAAAATTCCATTAATAACCTCTTTCAGCGCGTATAGGTTGCAGGGTCTGGAACTAAGAATGTTTTAATCTCTTCAGCAAAACAATGTCTCATAATGATGTACAGGACTATTGCTGTACTGATGAAGAATCATACATAATTCAGCACCTTTCACTTGGCACCACTGTGATATCCTCATTAGCCGTGGCTCACAGTGTCTGTCAGATGGTGTCCATGCGAACGCAGGCATTATATTGTCTTTGAGATGTGCAGCTGCTTCCATGACACTGCCAGTATATAAAAACATGACGCCAGTTTGTTTTATTTAGTGCTAAACCTTCCAGTTTGTAAAAACAAGGCTGACACAGAGCCTGACATGAGGCAGTGAAAATAATTAGCTCTCATTTTCTCAGCCTCCTATTTCCTTCTCCCTGCTGTGTTCTCTTTCCACTAAACCACCACATGTCAGTCGAAATGGGAGGCAATTAGTGGGCTCATTTCAGTCCCCACAACTGTGCTGAAAAGAAAGTATTTATGATGGCACAATGAACAGCTGAAAGATTAAATAACATTTGCCTTTTGAAAAGAAAATGACTTCTAGCTAAATGGGCAATTTTTGATTATTCTCAAACAAGCTTAGAGTAGTTGGTTTTTAAAATACAAGAAAGGAAAATGAGTCATTTTTAGGTGAAAGAATCAAATAAAACTTGACACAGTAATGCAAATAACTGATGTTTTATTGCAAAATATGTAAATGCGTTATACCCTTAACAATGGCTTGTGTCTAAGGTCAGGGCAGATTGGTGCCAAGTAGACACCAGTGGAGATAAGGTTGTTATATTGCCTTTTTGGGAGTTGTTATCTGAGTTATGTATGAAAAAGGGGCTTTAAGGATGATGTTAAAATAAAGTGAAACAAATCAAGTGAGACATACTTTCATATGATGCATTACACACTTGACGATCTAAAATGGTTCAGATGTTAGTTGACATGTTTGGAAAGGGCTTTTTTTCCTTAACTGTATTTGAAATTGGAAAGTACTAGGTCTTCATGATGGAAAAAAAGAATAGTAAGTCTTGCTATTGATTTTTGAATAATTAAGAATCTATTCCGTGTCAGACTGGGTTTCTTAAGGAATATAGAAGTTGATCTCACTCATCTAAGCACTGCTTTAACATTTTTAAATGCTGGGAAATCTATGCAAATAAACTTTTATCCAGGATACTCAAAATATAAAAACATCTGTTCTACCTGATAAGTTCTTCTCCTGCCACCCCATGACTTTAGGGGTGACTGGAAGAAATATGATTTTCAAAGCAACAGTAACCTAGTCAATAGGCATTGTTTACCAGTTAAGCTATTACCAATTCAAATCCTAATGTCCAGGATTGATATGGTTGTCCTACATCCTTGATTTTCCAACATAGTGCTTCTTCATTTTACTTCAAATAGTCTGTCCCTTTTATAGTCGATTATTCTCAACACCTAATTTTTGGTTTAGAAAACAAGCCACTGTGAGTACTGAGATCTCTTGCTGCAGAACTTACAGTGATCCTCAGAAGCTTTTTGAAAACTTGCTTCTAAAAGCAAAGATCTCTCTCCTACAGACAACTGTGCCTGTCATCATGGAGTCACAACTATGACTGTTTCCATGTTTTTTAAAGACAGTCACAAATTTACATTTTGTTTTTCTGTTTCCAGACTATATTCTTACTTTTTACAAAACTGAATCCCAATTTTTGATTCATGCATGATGGTCAGTATGAGACAATATGACAAAATGAGACAACGGTGACCCAGAGACCTAAGCCAACTAACAACGGATTCATTAGGAGACTGGAGCTCTCTTTGAGTTAAAGACACTTCTTATGATGGTTGGTAACCAGCAATAATGTGCTTGTAATTTACTCAAACCTGTGTTTTATCATGTACATCGCTATTTTAAAAGGAATTTGTAGTCTTGATTAAGAAGACTAAGAGGGACCCTACAGTGTGCTGGAGCCAGCTCTCATGAGCTAATTGCTTACAGCCATTCCCAGTTTCAAAGCCAGCGATGCCAGATTGGTAACTTGAAATCTGCCATCTTCACACCATGGAGATCTACACATGCTCCAAACCAGGGCTTCCTCCCATTGTGAGACACTTCCTGGCATGCTAGCGTGTATGCAGGACTGTCAATCCATTCAGCAGGTATGCACTGAGCACTTCGCCCAGCTCTGCTCTAGCTCTCTAGCTCTCTAGGTGGCTGGCCAACCCGTTTGACAGAGTACATTGCCACTCTCTGGAATTAGAAATCAGCAGCGAGTTATGCAGTTGTAAAATTCTGAGCTGCATTTGCTTCTTTGCTCAATTAAAACTTGTGATTCTTTCTCATTAAAAAAAAAAACACTTTATTGAGATATGATTGACATGTGAAAAGCTCTACCTATTTAATGTATATAACCTGATGAGTTTGGAGATACATCTACAAGACAGAGTAGGGACGGGGCTCAGCCCCACCCCACCTCCACCAGTGTATTTTTTCCCATACATCCTCACTGACCGTGAGACCTTGTAAACTGTGAGGAAACTGAGAAGCAGCATTCCACGTCAATCTCACTCAAGGGAGTTAACCCTATCACCCGCATGCACACAGAACCAAGAAAATGACCCATCCTAACCCCTTGCCTCATTATATTACTCAAATCCCCGTCCCAGGAGCTTATCTGCCATTTTTTGATCATGCGATGCATGTATTAACATGATTTCTCACTTTGCCTGCACACCCCATGCTCTGTCCTGCACATGTAATGACGTTCGTATACCTCATGCTTATTCATGTCACCCTTCTTAAAACACTGCAAGACCTGCCTTCAGAGAGCCAGTCGGAGAACTCTTGCTCCCATGCTGTCTCCTTGGGCTCCAGCATAGGCCCCAATAAAGCCCTGTCTGGGAAACTTTCTCACTCTCATGTTAATTTCTGTTGCATGAGAACTCAAGAACAGGTAGGTAATGTATGCACCTATGAGACCATCACCACAACCTATGCCATAAACATTTATCTATCACCTCCAAAAGTTTCCTCCTGCCCTCTTATTTATTACTTATTATTTTTACAAGAATGCTTAACATGAGATCAAATTTACAAATTTTAAGTATATAACAACCTGCTGTTAATTATAGATACTATGCTGTACAGTAGATCTCTAGAACTTATTCATCTTAGATACTTAGGCACACAAATACATGTGTGCATACATGTATTTTTTTCTCTCAACAAATAGATGATCATGGAAATAAACTTCCCTATACTTAATTTTTTTTTTTTTTTTTTTTTTTTTTTTTTTTTTTTTTTTTTTGAGACGGAGTCTCGCTGTGTCACCCAGGCTGGAGTGCAGTGGCGCCATCTCGGCTCACTGCAAGCTCCGCCTCCCGGGTTTACGCCATTCTCCTGCCTCAGCCTCCGAGTAGCTGGGACTACAGGCGCCCGCCACCACGCCCGGCTAGTTTTTTGTATTTTTAGTAGAGACGAGGTTTCACCATGTTAGCCAGGATGGTCTCGATCTCCTGACTTCGTGATCCACCCGCCTCGGCCTCCCAAAGTACTGGGATTACAGGCTTGAGCCACCGCGCCCGGCCTCCCTATACTTAATTTTTAATAAACGTAAGATATATCAAAGTAAAGCGCTGCTTTTAGCTGTCCTGAAATTTCCAAAAAGTGTTGGCTGTACTTAGAAAATCCTTTTCTTTGTGCCCTGTTATTTTATTCATGTTTATCTGTCCATTTATAAAAATTGCACAATAGGGAAAAAAAGCCCTATTTGACAGTTTTTGATATTTATGGTGCTCTGAGAAAGGGCCTGGAGATTCAATTAAGTTTATTAAATGCAACATTTTATAAGCAATGTAATAAGGACTTAAAAGCACAATACAAGTGGGAAGCATTTGTAAAAGGCAGAATTTTTAACCTACAGATGACATGGCTGGAAAAGCAGAACTATTCATCGAATTTCTTCCGCTGGGGAGTGGCGGAAGAGGCCAGGTGTTAACAATGACAAGGGTGGAAGGCGGCTGAGGGAGTCAGCTGGGCAGGAAAGTGCTCTATTGATAAGCTACCACTTTGTGGGTATCAGTAATTCTGCTTCTACCTCTTCCAAAGATTCCTCTCATTTCTCTTCCTACTTTTCTTGCCTCTTTGAAATAGGAAATTGAAAGCGATGGTCATCTGGGAAGGAGTGGCTCTACTCCGGAAGCCTGGTCTTTCTTTAAGGAGTAGGTGCCGGTGTGTTCGGAGACTTGGGAGGGGCAGCGTGTTGTTTCCGTTACTTTTCCCCTAACCTCAGTCTCCTATCTATGTCAGGTAATCAATTTAGACCCACGGGAACCGAGCTTCAATCAGGTTTCCTTTGCCTCATTGGGGAGAGGAGGAAATAAGGACGCAAGGAACACAGTCTGTGACGGTTGAGCGGTTGAGCATTCGTAAGGAATGGACGACTCCCCAAAGAGTTGCTTCCTAACTCTGCTTTTAAATTTTTATGACACACGAAGTCTCAAAAAGATCTTGGTGAGAAAACTGCTGGGTGATTTGATAGTTTATCTCTTGGCAATTTGAGAATCAATATTCCTGCGTGGTGAGCTGGTAAGAGATATAATGATAAAATCTAGGCAGCTGAATATTTTAATAAAAAGGGGTGGTTGCCACCCTGGGGAGTGCATGAAGTCGCCCGAGATTCTGGAAGCCACTTTCCTTTTGTGCCAAGTCAAAGGCCTTAGATTGTAAAACACGGGGCACTTTGATTGCAAAAACAGAAATAGTGGTAATGTAGAATTAACTGACCCCCAAATGCCTTTTCATTACCAGTATACTTATTTTGGGGGACAATGGTATCTTCCAAAATGAGGCAGTGTGACACAGTAGTTAGACCCTCAGACTGAATCTGCGCCTTACTAAGTTGGAGCCTCTGGTGAGGAGCTTCACCTACGTGCCTCAGTTTCCTCATGAAGAGGATGATACGGAGATAATGTTCCCTGTCATATTGAGTTGTAACAATTACACAAAAATGCCCTTTGCAAAGTGCTCACCAGAAGTATGAAGTGATAATAATTATCCCTAGCATGGGAAACATTCAAGCAGAGAAAGACACCATTTCTGCCAGTTTGATTGTCGTAACTTCCAGGTTGTCTCCACATACGACGTCATCTAAATTGTTATTATTATTATTATTTGAGATGAGTCTTTCTCTGTTGCCCAGCCAGGCTGGAGTGCAGTGGTGTGATCCTGGCTCACTGCAACCTCTGCCTCCTGGGTTTAAGCGATTCTGCTGCCCCAGCCTCCCTAGTAGCTGGGACTACAGGCGCCGTCCACCACGCCCAGCTAATTTTTATACTTTTAGTAGAGATGGGGTTTCACCATGTTGGCTAGGCTGGTCTCGATCTCCTAACCTCAAGTGATCTGCTCGCCTTGGCCTCCCAAAGTGTTGGGATTACAGGCATGAGCCACTGTGCCTGGTCTATGTCATTTAAATCAATAATTAACTTTACTCTTTAGGAGCAGGTCAAGTAAATGGGGGTAAAACTTGTTTCGCTTATTAATTTAAATTGCCAGTGAAGCCTTTGGTCTCATCATGATGTTTTCCCTGCTAGGTTGTTTCAGAAAAAGCACATTTCACTTGTGGGAGAATTCTTATAAGCGTCAGTGGGGCTGGAGCCTGGTCAGGTCCTGGCTCTTTGGAGGGATGTGGTTGTGAAGACTAAGCGCATGGGCAAGATGGCCCTGCAGCCACTCCTGACTATGATAGCAGGCACAGGCACTCAAACGCGGATCACCTTTCAGGGTTCTGCAAATCAACCTCATTTTGTGCCATCATCCATCTGGTTGTAAAATGAAGCTAAGAAAAATAACTTAATCTGAATTCTTAGGACAAAGGTGGACGGGGTTTTTCCTTTACCTATTTGTGTATAAGGTAATATTTTCCTGGCTTGCTCTTAGTAGGCTTAAAGTTGTGGAAATGACATAATTTTAAGGGGTAGTCAGTGGGTGGTCCTTCTCAAATGCAAAGGGAAAATGTAGCCACTATTTTCATGATAAAGTCACTGTCATACCTTATTCTCAATGGCTGCCATTACAACACATTTTTCATTTTGCTTGTAAAAGAAAAGGTGAAATCCAGCAAATGCCTCTGCTATGCAAACTCTTCGGTTTGGAGAGAATTTGCAAAGCTCCAGTTTTCTCTTGGAAAGCTTATTCTGGTCATGGAGGTGGGGATGGACTTAAAGTTTTCACCTTTCCCGTGAAGATGGTTTTATGAGAACTTGATTAATTGGGACTTGAAGGAAGCCTTTTTTTCTGGGTTCTATCTTTAAGGCCCAAGGCAACAAGGTTTTTGTGTGGGGAACTGAAATTTCAATTCAAAGCACATTAATCAGAAAATATTTCATAATGCTAAGACATAGGCTGGCATAGCTGGTATACTTTAGAACAGGACAGTAATTTATTCTAGGATTGCTTTATATAGGTTTACAGATGGCTTAAATGTTGTGGCTCAGGTGTGAGATCTAGCACGTATTTACTACAAAGACAATAATAAAGATGTAATTTCTGGTCTTAGCTCTGTCTTTGCCTCACCCCAGGCAAGTCATACACTTCCTCTTGTTATCTCTTTCTGAATCAGCAGTGATCATACTATGAGTTATACATCCCACCCAAATGCCAACAGGAGAAAGGAGATGACATTTATAGAATACCTGAGCTCTTTAGAATGTATTCTCTAAGCAAAAGCCTTAAGCATTATATTCTGGAAATTATTCTGCAACTGCCCACCAACCTCTTCAAGCCCCAATAAAATACTCATCCTTCCAAAATAGCTTTTCTTTTTTTTTTTAAGTTAAAAATTTATTGACATTCTGAAAATATAATCATTGCAAAAAACTATTTAATATTGCTTTTAATTTATCACAGGAGTTACTTCCCAAAAATGTTAATCACAGCTGGATTGAAAGAGTCTTTGGGAAATGTGGCAATGTTGTTTATATAAGTATACCACATTATAAGTCTACTGGAGATCCAAAGGGATTTGCGTTTGTGGAATTTGAAACAAAAGAACAAGCAGCAAAGGCAATTGAGGTAGGTCCAGATCCTGAAGTCAGAACAGGCAAGAGGAAGAGAAGCAGCTCTGAAGATGCAGAGTCCCTTCCTGAATTAGTTCCCAAAGATTCCTGTCCTCCTCCAGAAGGGTAAAAGGCAGGGACTTCAGCCACTTCTATTTATACTATTCTTAACTCCTGAAATCCAAAATAGCTTTTCCTGGCCGGGCGCGGTGGCTCAAGCCTGTAATCCCAGCACTTTGGGAGGCCGAGACAGGCGGATCACGAGGTCAGGAGATCGAGACCATCCTGGCTAACGTGGTGAAACCCCGTCTCTACTAAAAAATACAAAAAAACTAGCCGGGCGAGGTGGCGGGCGCCTGTAGTCCCAGCTACTCGGGAGGCTGAGGCGGGAGAATGGCGTAAACCCGGGAGGCGGAGCTTGCAGTGAGCTGAGATCCGGCCACTGCACTCCAGCCTGGGCGACAGAGTGAGACTCCGTCTCAAAAAAAAAAAAAAGCTTTTCCTGTTGAACCTCACCCATTCCAGTCACTTCTTTATACTTTTAGCACCTTAGCATCATATTCACATTGCATATTTCACTTTTGATCCACCACTTTATAACATCATCTCTCTAGTTGCCCACACTAGAAACCTCGGCACCCTCCTGGCCCCTCCCTCCGACTTGCTGTGTCTCCAGCTAGTGACAGAATCTAATCCGTTTCAGTGTGTCCTGGGACCCATGGCACTGGCACAGGCTCAGCGCTTTGACATTTTTCACCTGGTTGTCTCCACTGCCCACTCACAGATCTTTGTCACTCTAGCCTGGCCCCTTTCCAATTCATCCTTCTCTGTGCTTCTGAAAGATCTGTTAAAAACATACATCTGATCCTATCTGCTCTTTTCTTAAAATCCTTAAAACTCCTTGGCTTAGCACATAAGACAGTGCTTTTTCTGGATGCTAGCTCCCTTTCTGGGCACTCCCTTTGGCATCCCCCTGTTCCATGGTAAGTCTTTCCAGAGGGAGGATGCTTGAGTTGAGTCATGAAGTCCCCTCAAAATTATTCCAAGAAGAGCTCCCTGTGTTTTCCTGGCTTCGTGCTTTTGAGCTTTTGCACACATGGTTTCTTCTGCCTTCAATGTCCTCTCCTTACCTAGTCATTCTTAGTGGCTTTAACATTTAGCTTAAGCAACACGTCTACCAAGAAGACTTCAAGGACCCTCCCTCACCCCTTTCCCATCTGTTGTAGATCCTCATCCAGTGATCTCCCACAGAACTATGTAAATGGCTTTGTAAAAACTCATCATTCTGTACCATAGCCATTCATGAATTTTGTCTACTGCTCATGATAAGCTGTAGATTCCGTAAAGGCTGGGATTGTACTTTTTGATTTTATATAAAAATCTAGCATCTACCTTAGAGCCAGGCACAAAGCAGGTCCTCAGTAAATGCCTGCCAAATGAATAGATAAAATTATTACTCTGGGCTGGATGCGGTGGCTCCCAACTGTAATCCTAGCACTTTGGGAGGCTGAGTCGGGCAGATCACGAAGTCAGGAGCTCAAGACCAGCCTGACCAACATGGTGAAACCCTGTCTCTACTGAAAATACAAAAATTAGCCAGGTGTGGTGGCATGCCCCTATAATCCCAGCTACTCAGGAGGCTGAGGCAGGAGAATTGCTTGAACCTGGAAGGCAGAGGTTGCAGTGAGCCAAGATTGTACCACTGCACTCCAGTCTAGGCAACAGAGTGAGGCTCTGTCTAAAAAAAAGGATTACTCTGGATGGGTGACCAAGGAACAGCAGAGGATCAAAAGCTGCAGCAACTTTAGGGCTTATAGATAATCTATGACTCAAGAAGTCTACATCATTATGGCCAAAAACAGACCATTGTATTCAGTCTCAAATATTATCCAAAGCTCCTTATTTTTACTAAAACATAGATTTTTCAGTTTTCCATATTATTAAATTATTTCTTTTTAAATTGAAAATATTTTCTTGGCCATGCACAGTTGCTTACACCTGTAATCCCAGCACTTCAGGAGGCCGAGGTGGTGGATCACCTGAGGTTGGGAGTTTGAGACCAGCCTGGCCAACAAGAGAAACCCCTTCTCTACTAAAAATACAAAATTAGGCCGGGTGCGGTGGCTCACGCCTGTAATCCCAGCACTTTGGGAGGCCGAGGCGGGCGGATCACGAGGTCAGGAGATCGAGACCATCCTGGCTAACACAGTGAAACCCCGTCTCTACTAAAAATACAAAAATATTAGCCGGGCGTAGTGGCGGGCGCCTGTAGTCCCAGCTACTCGGGAGGCTGAGGCAGGAGAATGGCGTGAACCTGGGAGGTGGAGCTTGCAGTGAGCTGAGATCGCGCCACTGCACTCCAGCCTGGGCGGCAGAGCGAGACTCCGTCTCAAAAAAAAAAAACAAGATTAAAAAAAAAAAAATACAAAATTAGCTGGGTGTGGTGGTGCATGCCTGTAATCCAAGCTACTCAGGAGGGTGAGGCAGGAGAATCATTTGAACAAGGGAGTCAGAAGTTGTGGTGAGCCAAGATCGCACCATTGCACTCCAGCCTGGGCAACAAGAGCAAAACTCCGTCTCAAAAAAAAGAAAAAAATTTTTTTTTCTTGGTTGAGATGTCTCTTCACAAGTCTTTTCCAAGGAAAAATTTTCTCTCTTACCACCTACAAGCCATAACAAAGCTTAAAGATAACTCATAAATTCATTGTCACGGAATCAAGAAAACCAGAACAGGCAAATTGAAATGTGCAATTTGTTTACCATCAGATGAACTTAGGGGTGCCCACAGCTGCAGAATCTCAGGGTTAGAAGGACTTCTGATGTTGTTGGAGACAGAAGGACTTACTTTCCTGTCCCCTTTCCAGGCTCCTTCTAACAACAGGAATGAATTGACAGTGATCCATTGACAGAGGGAAAAGTATTCATATGTAAGAAACCTGGGTCCAGAGCAGCTCTCACTCAACCAAATTCTGTGGCCAAAACAAGCGAGGTAAGGATTTTCATTCAGCAGGTAAAGAAACACCTGCAGTGATGCAGGCAAGACACACTCTTGCTTAGGTGTCTAGAAAGGGCATCTTTAAAAAACAATTAATGTTTATGTGTATATACTAGGTGTATATATTTTTGGTGTATATGTGATTTTTTTTTTTTTTCTTGAGATGATGTCTCACTCTGTTGCCCAGGCTAGAGTGCAGTGGCACAATTTTGGCTTTCTGCAGCCTTGACTTCCTGAGCTCAAGTGATCCTTCCCACTTTAGCCCTTCCAAATAGCTAGGACTACAGGCATACACTACTACATCCAGCTACTTTTTGTATTTTTTATAGAGATGGGGCTCCACCATCTTGCCCAGGCTGGTCTCGAACTCCTAGGCTCAAGCATTCCACCAGCCTCAGCCTCCCAAAGTGCTGGGACTACAGGTGTGATCCACTGCACCCAGTCCACGTGATGCTTTGATACAAGCATACGATAGGTAACAATCACATCAGGATAACTGAGGGCATCCTTGACCTCATTTCTTTGTGTTAGGGACATCCCAATTATACTCTTTTAGTTATTTTAAAATACGTATTAAATTATTGCTTACTGTAGTCATCCTGTTGTTCTATCAAATAATAGATCTTATTCATTCTGTCTATGTTTTTACCCATTAACCATCCCAGCATCCTCCTGCCCTCCCCTGCGATGCTTCCAAGCCTCTAGTAATCATCATTCTACTATCTCCATGAGTTCAAGTGTCTTAATTTTTAGCTCCCGTCTTTCTGTGACTGGCTTATTTCACTTAACATAAGATCCTCCAGTTCCACCCATGTTGTTGCAAATGATAAGATTTCATTCTATTTTATGGCTGAACAGTATGCCATTGTGTATATGTACTCCATTTTCTTTATCTATTCATCTGTTGATAAGCGCTTAGGTTTGCTTCCAAATGTTGGATATTGTGCACAGTGCTGCAGTAAACAGGAGTACAGATATCTCCTCAATATATTGATTTCCGCTCTTTTGGTTATATACCTAGCAGTGGGATTGCTGGATCATTTACATTCCCACCTTGTACGAAGGTTCTCCTTTCTCCACATCCTCACCAGCATTCATTATTGCCTGTCTTTTGGATATAAGCCATTCTAAGTGGGGTGAGATGACATCTCACTGTGGTTTTGATTTGCATTTCCCTGATAATTACTGACATTGAGCCATTTTCCATATACCTGTTGGCCATTTGTATGTCTTCTTTTGAGAAATCCCTATGAAGATATTTTGCCCATTTTTAACTGGATTATTAGAAATAGCATCTTTTGAAGACCCAGGAAAAACTCAACCCCTCACAACAATTTCCAATCATTCCCAGGCACTGGTTCCCAGGAATGGCCTGGAGCAAGCACGGTTTCACTGAGGAAAGGCCAGGGCCAGCTGAGCCTACCACAGCAATCGGTAGGCTCACACAGCTTGTGAGGTGCATTTATAAGGTCCCTTGGCTTCCCTGAAGGGAAGGCTTCCATATTATGCAGTAGTTAAGAGCTTGGGTTCTGGGACCAGAGCAACCTGCATTCAAATCTTTATTCTGCTATTTGCTAGCCATGTAAGTTATTTAACCTGTCTGAGCCTCAGTTTCCTCATTCGCAAAATAAGGGAAAGTAGTTTTCACACTTCAGTACTGTTTGCCTGGTACACAATAAGTGGTCAGCTAACAGAAGTTATCATTATTATCATTAGCTATTTATGATCATCGAAAGTAACAGAAACCTACTGTAATTCTAATTCGTAGGCTACCTAGGCCAAATAATTTTTCCAGACTTTCAAAATGACATAAACTGAAAGGCTGATTGAAGAAGTTTTGCTCAAATGCCCTGCCACCCTATTTAGAGCAGATAATTTGTGTCTCCACATGGCCTGCAGTTCCATTCTTAGTTTTTATTCTCGGTATTATAAGGCTGCTTTCTCTTACAAAACAGGAATCAGGAAGCTGCGGCATGAGCGGTATACACAGTCTGGTATCCACGCCCCCCTTCCCTGTCCATGCTTTACTGTGAATTATCCTGATGTTTGGGTGGCCTCACATGGGCGTCTTCAGCTGACTGAGAAAGTAAGATTCCTAGACTGGATTACAGAGGCAGCTGGCAGCCTTTCAGCTAAATTCTATTTTATAAAGTCTATAAATTTACTCAGAATCCAGTTACCAGCTGGTAGGGGGTGTATAAAACCATGGAGTTACAGAAGAGAAAAAAGAGTAATTCGATTGAGATTTATCCAAAGGATTTAAAATGTGATTTACCTGTGGGCCAGTTCCTGGTTTCAAGTGAAAACCAAAAACCAGTTCCAGGTTCACTAATTTTTCCTCATTTTCTTCCGGTTCACCTCCTGAGTCCTAAAACAGGAAACCAAGCACCAATTATCCTAGATGTTGTCTTTACTTCTCATGTAAAGAAGATGATAGCTTAGCACTAGTTTTTTTTTTTTTTTTTTTTTTTCCTATTCTAATCCATTAACTTTTGGTTATTTTGGATTAAGCTACAAATGATAATTACATCAAGCAAGAGAAATGACATATTATGCCTTTTAGAACTTTGCCAAATGATTTATTTCATGCAGTTCAAATTGAATGTCACTGTCTCACATTTATCACAATGCATCTTGCATTGTGCAATTTTACCCTAGAAATGCACTTAGCACCTCGAGATGCATTGTGAGATTTCAGCTTGAGAGGTTCACAACACATAGGGCATTTACAAGCTATTCCTGAAGAGGAATTACGCAGTGGATGGAGGACGCAAATGTGGATGGAGGATGAAGCAGAGGAACAAAACAAATCTTTGAGGGCTTAGAGATGAAAAACTATAGCTGTTAGTGAATAAGTAAAGTTCTGTATATGAATTGCAAGTATTTGCTGATTTTAAACAAATTATGCCATATTCCTTTAGAGTAGATTCAAAATGTTAAGTATACTAATATGTTATTCAAACAGTAAACCTCCCATCCCCTATGAAAGTGATGATTGAGCGCTCCAGGGTATGAATTCTCTCAGTGACTTACATGTTGAAAAGTATCCAGGCCCAGGTGGGAGGCCACAGGACCTCACCTACAATGTTGGCACTTAGAACTCCTAGCCACTAAAGTGAGGTGTGTTGTTCTTATCATGAACAAATTGTTAATATTTCAACTTGTGGGGAACAAGGGTGTTCAATTTATACACATCCCTTGCTTCAAAGGGCCTTTTGTTAGACAGATGTGATGAAATTTCACTTCAAACAACCATTTCCGACATTGGCAAATTTAGGTGTGGATGCAGCAGGTGCATGTGTCAATAAAGGTAGCATTAGTGTCCGTAAGAAAAACCTCACTTACCTTAATTAGCGGTGGGAAGTGAAACAAGTTTATGTAATCATGGGTTAATTTCTCAATGGCTGACTGTTAAAAAGAAATCATATGACTTTATTAATGATCCAACAATACCAAGAGAAGATTAAAATCATTGGGTACAAACAAAAACATTCCTTATTTACCTAGTTCATAAAATATCTTGGGGGCATTAATATCCAACGTCTATTGAGAATAAATCTCATTGTCCAAAGCAGTGTAGGTGGTTTGTAATTATTTAAAGGACCAGAAATTTTTAAAAATTATTTTTTCTTTTGGAGACCGGGTCTCATTCTACCATGCAGGCTGGAGTGCAGTAACACTATCATAACTCACTGCAGCCTTGAACCCCTGAGCTCAAGAGATTCTTCCATCTCAGCCTCCCAAGTGGCTGGGACTCAGGCATACAGCACCACACCAGCTAATTTATTTTATTTTATTTTTTGTAGAGATGGGGTCTTACTCTGTTGCCCAGGCTGGTCTTGAAATCCTGGCCTCCTGCCTTGACCTCTCAAAGTACTGGGATTACAGGGATGAGGCCAAGAAAAGGAAGACATTTTAAAGATGTTGAACCTCAGACTAAGCAATAAATAAAACCATTTTTCAAACACCGGCAGAGTATAGTACTGAGAAGTGGATGTTCTAGGGTACAGAATGCAGGTGCCACTCTGAGTAACGGTGAGAAAAGCAACATAGCACATGAGTATAACACCAGACTTTCAGGAAGGCTAGAATCTCACTAAAAGGTTGATTGCATTATAAGAACATTTCTATGGATATGTGTCCAACATCACCTCTGCCAATGAAACACAAAGAAATCTGAAAGGAAAGGAAGACAATTTATGATGATGTTTTGGATACTCAGCAGGCACAGTTCAGATTTTCTAAGAACTGATTGCGGAGAGAGTAAAAAAGTACCAACCTGAGAAAATTAGATGCATTTTATTTTAAAGCAAAATAAAAACTGTTGACAGCTGACAATGTAATGAACACTTATTGGGTGTTCAATCCTACTTCTTACACTCAGCTCCTTCACACGAGGGCTTGCAGGCTCAGAGAAGAAGGGAGCCATGGTCAGGCTTAAAGGGAGGGACAAACACACAGCAAAAGAATGGGTCGGGGCTGGGTGTGGTGGCTCACATCTGTAATCCCAGCACTTTGGGACGCTGAGGTGGGCGGATCATGAGGTCAGAGGTTCGAGACCAGCCTGACCAACATGGTGAAGCCCCATCTCTACTAAAAATACAAAAATTAGCTAGGTGTGGTAGTCCGCGCCTATAATTCCACCTACTCAGGAGGCTGAGGCAGGAGAATCGCTTGAAACCGGGAGGTGGAGGTTGCAGTGAGCCAAGATTGCACCATTGCACTTCAGCCTGCACAGCAGAGTAAGACTCCAGCTCAAAAAAAAAAAAAAAAAAAAAAAAAAAAAAAAAAAAAAAAAAAGAATGGATGGATATACTACTCCACTGTCCAGTTTGATCACCTACCATTCCATTTAAGGACTGAGAGACTCTTGGAGAAAGTACACAACAATTGTGCCTTCCTCAGTGAAAGCGCAAAGAATAAAGGATACATTCTTACCATCAGGCTGTGTGTGAGAAACACTTGAGACAGGGACCCGGAGGACTCCTCCAGTGTGGATATACTCATCCCCAAAGGCCCAGCTTGGAGCATTACTTATCTTGATTGCCCTGAGAGTCTATGCAGGGCCCTCCTAGAGTAAGTGCACACAACCCTTTCCCTTTATCTTTCCCTCTCATATAAACTTGTTGGAAATCCCCACGCTCTGGCTGAGTTTAGAGGTCACCTGTTGGCTGAGCCCCTACTGGGCAGCCATTCTTACATATAGCTCCAGCCTTGGCAGTAAGCGGGAGGGTCCGCATTCCACACTTTGGAGACTGCCCTTCTGTGAATGATTGTCTTTGGAAGCTCATGCAGACGCACTCAGGAGTTTGAGGGCAGTGTTAGGTCCCCCAACAGATGCAGGCTACTCCTTCATTTGGAGCTCTGGGCAGACCCTCTGCAGATGTCATAAAAAGAGGACATCACACTGACCCCACTCTTAGTGGGTCAAATAGTTTTTGTTTTTACTTTTAAGTGGCTGCTTCCAATAGGGCTTTTTCTCTCTGCATGTTCCTTGGCTTCTCTGCAGGCTCAGACCCCTGTCCCTACCTTTTTTTTTGAGATAGGGTCTCACTCTATTGCCCAGGCTGTAGTGCAGTGGTGTAATCACGGTTCATGGCAGCCTCAACCTCTTGGACTCAAGCAATCCTCCCACCTCAACCTCCCAAGTAACTGGGACCACCACAGGCGTGCACCACATGCCTGGCTAATTTTTGCATTTTTTGCAGAGGCAAGATTTTGCCATGTTGCCCAGTCTGGTCTTGAACTTCTGGGCTCAAGTGAGTTGCCCACCTTGATCCCCCAAAGTGCTGGGATTACAGGCATGAGCCACAGTGCCTGGCCCTTAGACCCTTTTGACCACTGATTCTATCTTAAAGCTTTTCCAACCTTTGGCTTTTGTAACAGCATTATCTCCTCATTTCCTACTTTGTGGACACACATTCCTGCCTTCCTCTTCACCTTCCTGGCCAAATACATCCTTTCTGCCAAAGACAGAAAGCTTCCTAGCTGGAAGAAGACTACTCTTGAGCAGGGTGTAGAGGTGGCTGTGCTGTCCTTTGTTTTATTATTACTTTTTAATGAGGTGAAATTCACATGCCATAAAATTAACCAGTACCTCTATCTAGTTCCAAAACATTTTCATCATCCCCAAAGGGGACTCTACTCCCATTAGGCAGTCAATAACCATTGCCTCCTCCCCCCAGCAGCTGGCAATCACTGATCGCTTTCTGTCTATGGATTCACCTATTCAAGATGTCTCATACAATATGTGACTTTTGTGTCTGGCTTCTTTCATTTAGCATCATGTTCAAGGCTCATCTATGCTGCGGCACATATCAGTGTGGAGTCCTAATAAGTTAAGTAAGCTACAACAAGGAGGGGGTCCCAGGTGGGGGATAACAATTGTTCTGAGAGACGGCTAATCACACACAATCACAACACCTGTTCCCAAATACCTCATTCTGCAAGTAACCCCAGCAGCATGACCTTGTCTGTACACCCTATCTGCATGTAGCCCCTCCAGTATGATCTCATAAAACTTCCCTCAAGCCCCTGCCTCTTGGCAGACAGCCCCTTCTCTGCTGAGGTGCCCATTGCACCCTTGCAACACATCTTCATACTTTGTGTAAGAAATCTGCCTTTCTTTACCTATGACTGTCTTGGTAAATTATATTACTGCCTGCGACAGCGGCCCCAGCCAGTCTGCCCACATCAATCAGTACTTCATTGTACTTTCCTTCTTGAGCCTGAGAACAGCCCTCTTACCTGTGGCATCTTCCTCTTCTCTCCATGCGCATTTTTGTTACACTGCAGTGCTTATTATTGTCTACATTTATACCCTCCTGTTTTTTCAAAACCCAGCCTTGCCTTTTTAATCCATTTTAAAACTTCCAGAAGCAAAGTGCAAACATGTCCATTCTCAATACTCCCGACAGCTGGTCATATTCCAGCTTTTCCCCCCAGCCTGAAGTTGTAAGCTGTCCAGGATCTGGCCCCACCTTCTTTCCACTTCAGGTTCCATGCATTCTACTCATCACTCGTGTTCTGTAGACAGCTGTTTAAGCTACTCAGATCGGGACTCATCTTTTCTGTTCCTCCACATTCTCTTCCATTTCTCTTAACTCTTTGTTCTCTCTGTCTAGATTAATGTTCTTTCCTTTCCTGGTCTACATTCCAAAATCTGTCATTCCTCCAAGATCCGGCTCAAGGGCTACCCACTCTGTGAAGTTTTCCCTTTCCATCTCCCACCATGGCCTCTCCCAAGTCTGGGTAATGAATCGCTCCTTTCCTCCCAATTGCCAAGGAGATGCTGTATGCATTCCTTAACCACAGGTTTCTTTGACTCTTCATAGGCCCAGTCTCACAATTAGTAGCCATTCACTGAATTTGCTGAACAATAAACAATAAGTCTGGACTTTGCTTGCCTAAATGATACCTCTCGGCATGAAAGGGGTACTTAGGTTTATCCAGGGCCACCCTTGGAAAGATGTATATCACTGAGGGCATCTGGTGAGGTATCCCAGCTCACCACCCCATCTTCTGAACTGATCCTTAAGAAATACTGGTCCTTAGCCGGGTGCGGTGGCTCACGCCTGTAATCCCAGCACTTTGGGAGGCCGAGGCGGGCGGATCACAAGGTCAGGAGATTGAGACCACGGTGAAACCCCGTCTCTATTAAAAAATACAAAAAATTAGCCGGGCGCGGTGGTGGGCGCCTGTAGTCCCAGCTACTCGGGAGGCTGAGGCAGGAGAATGACGTGAACCCGGGAGGCGGAGCTTGCAGTGAGCAGAGATCGAGCCACTGCACTCCAGCCTGGGGGACAGAGCGAGACTCCATCTCAAAACAAACAAACAAACAAACAAAAAGAAATACTGGTCCTTTTCAAAGATGGCAGGTGGGAAGGGGAGGTGGGAGCATCTTATTTGGTATCTGCCAAATAGGACAAGATTTACAAAATTTCTTTTTTGGAGCTCTGAAACATCTCTGTACTGCAGAAAATACTTTTTCCTACTGTGGCCCACCTAAGCCAGCATAGCTTTTAGGATGGACTTGCCCACACCCCAAGGCTGGGATTACATTCTTTGCCAGTCTTCGAGAAATACGCTATGCATGGGTTTTCCTGCCCTTCTTCTAGGAGGGAGAAGACAGCAAGGTCCTCTTTCTGTTGTGGAGATGTTCTCTGGTGGGTGAGTGCTAAGCTGTTATGCAAAGGGTGCTGAGAGTCTGTAAGGATGTTTCTTCCTGGACCTAGGGTCCACAGAATGAAATGAATGGGCTCTCTTTGGGTCTTAATGGGGATTTCTCTAGAAAGGTCAGTGTGGGTAGCTCTGAGATAGGGAGTAGTTGGCATGCTGGTAGAGCCTTTGTGAAGGTGTGGATTTGGACAGGAGGCTGCTTTTTCTAAATTTTCTCCTTTATTCTGTGTCTCTTCTTTCTAACCTATACATACTCGTCCATCTACCCACACTGGAATGGGGGTGCGGGTTTGAGGAGCAAACTTGATTTTATTCTAAGATGTCTCTTGAAATAAGATTAATCACAATGACCACACAATGCCAGCAATTGTTATTCAGTTTAAGTTGCTAAGTTGAAAAAACAAAAACAAACAAACAAAAAACCATGACCACGACCACCACAGCAAACACAGAGGTTTAGCTTTGAAACTACTTAACACTTAAGTTTTGGGGGAAATGGTAGAATTTCCTAAGTGGGGATTAAAACACATACAAGGTGGCGTCTGTTCCAGGTCATAATGACAAAAATTACAAATGCCTTTAGGTTACTGCATTGGCTTACGTTTCCCTCTGGCCATGCAGAAATTCCGGGGTCCTTAGGGATTCCTGATGGACTTTTGTCTCTAGAATTAAACTGAGTCACTTCCTGCTGTTCCGGGTGGATGGCTGTTTTCCAGGCACCACACTGCCTTTGTGGTATTTTTTACAGCTGTCTTTTACCATTATCTCATAAGCAGTATCTGTTTTCTCCACCAGATTAGAGACTTCCTGAGGACGGGAGGTGATATTCAGGTATCTCCCTGTGACTCCTACTATACCACGTATGCATCTTTATGCTGTTGGATTATGAGGAAGGAATAGGGGTGCTTGGGGGCGGCCACTGATTATCAACTGATGTAAGCATTTCAGCACAGTAATGACTGGCATAGCACCGTTTCCATCTGCAGCCCCTAATGTTTGATCTGCTGCATAGTAGGTGCTCAGTAAAGATCTGTTGATGGAGGTCAGGCATGGTGGCTCACGCCTGTAATCCCAGCACTTTGGGAGGCTGAGGTGGATGGATCATTTGAAGTCAGGAGCTCGAGACTAGCCTGGAAAACATGGTGAAACCCCGTCTCTACTAAAAATACAAAAATTAGCTGGGTGTGGTGGCACGCTTCCATAAACCCAGCCACTTGGGAGGCTGAGGCAGGAGAATCACTTGAACCCAGGAGGTGGAGGGTGCAGTGAGCCGAGATCACGCCTTTGCACTCCAGCCTGGGCAACAGAGCAAGACTCTGTCTCAAAAAAAAAAAAAAAAAAAAAAAAAAAAAAAAAGATTTGCTGATGGAATGTTCTCCCTTTCTGAGGTACCTTGAAGTGAATGATATGCCCCTTGGAGACAATGCCCATGTCTTTCAGGTCTTCTTCCTCCAGCAGCAGTAGCCGCTTCCCTGTAATGTTGTTTTCTTTGAACAAGCTTGCATATACGCTCATCTCTGCTGAAGAGTCACCTGAAGGAAGTGATTAGAAAGCAGTATAAAATTAGATGAAATCACATCCAAAACAAAGTTAACTCCATGAATTAAGAAGGTAACTTATTCCACTTGCCTTTTCTGACGAGCTGCTGAACCCAACAATACTGTGAAAGAGAGGACACATATGGTTTTGAAGATTCACACATGGTCAGTGGCCGGTCTTCACAGTAAACATAGAGTTTTCAATAGATCAAAATAGCTTTAATTCCTGGCTCAACCACAGAGGTAAAATAGAAGACTTTCTCTTTGTAGTTTTAAAACCTCAAGCTTTCAAATGGGAGATATCCCTCTCTTCGGGGGTCTTGGACAGTTAAAAGACCATTGGTTTCCTCCTTCTTTGGGAGATATTTTTAAATCCTTTCAAGAGGGTTCTTACTTATAGTGATTCTTCCATTTATGTGCCAGTGGCCCCCTGGATTGCTGAGGGGCACCAGTTTACTCAGGAATTCTATGAGTTCTACGGACCACACAGCAGTGGACGGAAAGAATCTTCTGTTCTAGGCCAGGTTGTGAAGTAGCCACGTGGCCCCGGCCAAGTCAAAGTATGGAGCTTCCTATGTAGAATGAGGAGACTGGACCCAGTGACCCTTAGTCCCTGTATATCACACGGCCTGGGTTTATTGGTGGCCTCTCACAGTACCTTGGTGAGGGGAGAAGGATGGGAGGGCAGACTCAGTCCCTCTGATTCTCTGGGGGAGTCCTCAACTCTGGAATTTTATTTAAGTGGCCTGGAAACCACTCAACCTCAGAGCAAAGACTAAAAATAGCTGTTAGAACTCAGTGCTTTTTAAAAAATTCTTTTCAAATGAGAGGGAAACTTTGCAGCAAGGGATAAAGAGATTACATCCAGGCTTGTGAATAAAGGAGACCCTGAGTCCTCTTTCCTTGTTAAGCAAGGCTGGCAGGAAAGTGAGGCTCACTGGGGCTCAGTGAATGGGAAGAAATAGTGGCAACTGGTGCCAAGTTTCCTTACCCTATGTAAGCCAAAGAGGTTAGCTAATGTTGAAAGCAGGTGCACTTCAAAAGAATACAAAGGGCAGAGAGGGAAATGCCTGGGCCCAAAACCAGTTTGAGCTAGGTAAACAGATCTTTTGAGGAGTTTCCAGTAGCTAGTCTGCACTTCGTGGCACCTGGTCTGTTCCCTGGGCTGGAGCCCAAACCCACTAAGGCTCACATTACATCTTTTGTTTTTTTCATTTTAATTTAGCGATACCCTGAGCTTGTTAAATAGACCTGGATAGGCATAAGTCCCTGAGTTTTATAGAACTTAAAACAATTTTTTTTTTTTGAGATGGAGCCTTGCTCTGTTGCCCAGGCTGGAGTGCAGTGGTGCGATCTTGGCTCACTGCAACCTCCACCTTCCGTGTTCAAGTGATTGTCTTGCCTCGGCTTCCCAAGTAGCTGGGATTATAGGCATGCGCCACCACACCTGGCTCATTTTTGTATTTTTAGAAGAGATGGGGTTTCACCATGTTGGCCAGGCTGGTCTTGAACTCCTGACCTCAAGTGATCCTTCTGCCTCAGCCTCCCAAAGTGCTGGGATTACAGGCTACCTCGCCCAGCCTAGTCCCCGAGTTTTCTTATCAGGAATTTTCTTACCTGTTTTGTCCCTAAGAAAATAGATATGGTGATGTAACAGACTAAGTTGGATTGTTTCTCAGGGTTTCTATCAAGAATGCAGAGTGCAGGACTTCCTTTGGATTTCAATAGTCTGAGTGCAGCCTCTCAAAAACATAGAGCTTATCTGGCTAAAGCTATCGGGAATGTCTGGGCGTGCTTGTGTCTATTCCCGCATGGGAGGCCAGAGTGAGGCTGGCAAATATGATGCCTCGTTTTCAAACAGGCCTGAGGTAGAAGGAAAGCCAGTTCAGTGGTGTCCCAGTTCAGTTCAGTCCAGCACTGCCTTGACCAGATCCTCCTCTACCACGGCTCAAGGCCATCCCTGTTCTTTTAAAAAGATTTAAGATCACTTTTTTCTTAAGTATGTTCATTTGTTTTCCCGAGCTGCCACTTTAATTTCCTCATTGGTGTTTGCTATTGTATTCTGGAATACTTTCAGAGCAAATAGGAAGGTAGAACCCACTTAGAAGAGTTGCAGATACTTGCTTTACTCTTGAGGCCTTATTTTCAATCATTATTGCATTAAAAACAGAAAAAAGGCCAGGTGCAGTGGCTCACACCTGTAATCCCAGCACTTTGGGTGGCAAGGCGGGCAGATCACTTGAGGTCAGGAGTTTGAGACCAGCCTGACCAACATGGTGAAACCCCGTCTCTACTAAAAATACAGAAATTAGCCAGGCATGCTAGTGGGCACCTATAGTCTTAGCTACTCAGGAGGCTGAGGCAGGAGAATCGCTTGAACCTCAGGAGGTGGAGGTTGCAGTGAGCTGAGACTGTACCACTGCACTCCAGCCCGGGCGACAGAGCAAGACTCTGTCTCAAAAAAAAAAAAGAATTTGTCAACTTCTCCTAGTTAGACTTTCCTAAGGCCCAATCTCTTTACCTAAAAACTTAGGGATAAATTTATGAAATACCTGCCCAAGTCAAATAAGGCATGAATACAAAGAGCTTACCACATCGTCTTCTGTCCATGCACCAATCTCAAAGGAAGGCAGCAGCTGCATGGGAAATATGCATGAAACGAAAAAAAGGTAATATTATCATTGTCTTTTTGGTTCATCCTCTTGTCTCACTGTTTTAGCTCTCAGCTGCTGCTCTGGCTTGGTTCCTCCTGCAGGTTGGGTTGAATGGAAAACAGTTTTCCTGACCTTAAGAGGCAGTTCTCAGTGCTCCAGTAATGTTCACCAATATCTCAGTAACAATTCATGTACTTTGGGAGCTGTTTCATATTCCTCTGTTGGTACCTGGTTTTTACATCCCACAATAAGGCCTCAGCAGTCAAGACATTTCTGACATTTTCTCAGAGACCCAGAGTCTTCCTCAGAGTTCTCAGCCAACATGAGGACTATTGGATTAACAATGAAAATTCCAAAGCAACCACTTAGTAACCAGATGATGTATTATGCCTATTCTCAAGAGGAATTTCTAAGTGTTTAAAGATCTCATTTGCACAATATTTTAAAAACCAGATGTTAGCACCCATGGATGAAGAAGGACATGGGAAATTGGTACGGTCTTAAGAAACCCAGGCTGTAGAGTCGCTCTAACTAAAACAGATTAAAATACCGCCCTGTGAGGTTCACAAGTGCAAACGAAGATATCTCCAGAGGACTTCAGCCTGCACCATTTTCAGAGCCAAAGAGCTACTTACTCTCTTCAATATATGCCCCATGGCCATCTAAATAATAAATGCTTATATAATTTTTAGAAGTCTGTGTGTCCTATAGGTCAAATTAGAGTTTGGTACACCTATTAGCTTTAACTAGCCTAACTTGACCCCCCAAAATGAATTGCTCATGACATAATATGGCAAAGCATCACTCATCTTCTGTTACAAATAATATTTTCTTGTGAGTTTCAAAAAAAGAAGTTGAGTTTGGTTGCTTTTACTGTTAGTATAAAAATCAGAGGATAAGTGAGTTAACCTTTCTAACTTACAGGTATTTTGTACCCACATGCTCAAAATTCTGCTAGAAAAGGCACAGCCCCTGCTTTCAAGGAGCTTTTAATTTAACTGGGGCTAATACAGGTATAAATTATACCTGGGGGACTCCAAGGCCATGTGAATCTTGGTTTACTTAATGCCTAACAGAGGGCCTGGCATACAATATCTGGTGAATTTTTGTTGAGTCATTTTAAAGAATGAATAAAATTAAAGGGTGCATTTACTGCAATGCTAAGTTCTCTAGTATAGAGTTCAATGTCTATGGGTATACCATAGACAGATGTATTCACAAAGGGGTTCGTAAAAGAAGATGGGAGAATGGAGGGCAGCACGGCTTGAGCTGGGTCCTGCAACGCAAGAAGAGAGGTGATTCCAGGTAAAGAGAAGCAACAAGGCAAAACCTGGCATGGCAGGAGAGGGAGGTACAGGAGGGAAGGATGGGAATGGAAGGCAATGAGTTCATGTTGGAGGAAAAAAGGGAAATGAGGCAGACAGAGTGGGGAGGCAAGCGGAAAAACCCACTACTGAAATGGACATGAATGTGCAGGGTTTCCGTATTTATAGACAAGTTGCCAGGACATAAAGTATACACTGAAATCAATCCTGTTCTGAGTATACTCTGCTACCTGCATGTGCTTCCCTTCCCTCCAGGGTTGCTTCTGCCCTCTCGGAAACACTTGAGGTGGGTAGGAATCATCACACACAGTCACCTGCTTTCATAATGGGGAAAGGAGAAAGACTTGAGGAACAGAATCTAAAGCTGAACTGGATCAAAGAAAATATATGACAATTTTGTCTCTTCACAGGGCAGCTGGACACAGCTGCAGAATCATGCCATTCCCTTCTCCCATCACAGAAGCAAACGTGAAATATGGAACTTTTTTGGTTCGTTCAAGAAACAACAGTCTGAGTTACAGAAATATTTTCCTGCATCATGGCTCACTTTTATAGAAACTGGGATGGGGGGAGGGGATGTGTAGTGTTATTTTTATAAAATTCCCAAATGTTGTGCTAAACAAAATTGAGAAATAAGTATTTTTTGAATAGAATAGAAGTTGTAAATGAAATAACTAATCACAACCAGAATCTTTGGTTTTAATGTCAAAAGGAGAGGGGGTTGGTTGCACACTGAGGATGGTTCTCCAATACGATGCATAGGGAAAGGCGCTGGCTTCATTCAGCTGGATGCTCACTCCAGCAGGATTCTTTGCACAATGCTTGCAAAGATCAGTGAGAGGAAGGCTGGAGCCAGGCATTGCTTCATGACGGTTTGAATTTGGCAAGACAGGGGATAAGAGTTAATGATCTCCAGCCACAGAGTGGCTTACCATTTCCTTTATGTTTTCTGTACCTTGTTAACATATCAGTGTATCTGCTGTAAGATGAGTTCTAAGCCTTTCTTTCTTTGGGGAATAAAAAAAATCCACCCCATGACTGCCTCATCACTTTACAAATTTATTATTTACACTCCCACTGACTTTAGGAGAGAAAAGCTAACACTTGAGTCCATGCGTGTGACAACAATTCCTTCAAAGGACGTTGGGAATCCAATCTAACGGGGATCTTATATACACAGCAACACATAACAAAGGGATTTACTGTCAAAACGTTTATTGCAAAATGGAGTCTTAGAACAAAGGAAAGCAAAGAAAAGTTCACATCAAAATGAAATGTATGACACCAACTTGGATTTCTGAATACACTGTGGACTTTGTGCTGGAATATCAAATTCCAACTATAAAATCAGTAACTGAATAGTCTTACCACACAAGAGTAAAATTTAATCTTCCATACAAACATTATACAAGATATTTGGCATAGGACTTGCTCAGAATAACATTGCAATAGAATAATTGAGAAAAAGTTTTTGTTAAAAAAACAATAAAGTGATAATGCCATCTATTCAAAGCTCACACTCAAAGAATATAAATATTTTCTATTATTTAGTACAAAAATTTTAAGAGTGCAAAAGCAGTATGTGCAGTGTATCATTTCTGACATTAATAGATATACTATTCTGCACACAATATAAAATAGTTAATGTAGGTGCTTGGAACTCTAGTTTGGAGTAAATAATCACATGCCAGGAAGCTCCTCACAGGCAACAGAGTGCAAACAAAGGTGGAGTCTGAGAAAACATGGCTAGTCTTCTAGATGTCCTGATAGACACTCATTTTTCATCAGAGAAATGCTGTATCTAGAGCTGTCAGGCTACGCTACAATCGAGAGAAGAGAATAGATTTGTATGTCTGGCAATGCTTAACACCTAAACAGGAAAACAGTCTTACTCAAAAGCAGCAAAAGGTGCCTGATTATAGAAAATGTATGCTCTATTATATATGTGGTATGATGAAACTCTGCTACTTTCAAAAGGCTGCAATAAGTCTAGTACAATAAAATTTTTTAAGTATTAATATTTAACTCAGAATAAGTTTTAAAACCGTCTTTCATAAAACTCTTACCATTCAAATGAAAACTGAAAAATAAAGTTATATGCACAGTAATTCTGGGAGAAGTCACTCTGGATCACTCCTAAACACTCCCCCACCCCCAATTCCTTGATTTTTAATGGGGATCAAGTTTGACTACCCTAGCTAGTGTTTAAAAGTCTAACAAATTCACTGTATGTTAAAAATCACTGGTTAAAAACCCACCCTCAACATTTCCAGAGCATCAAAAACAGTGAGCTATATGCTTTCAACTCCTTTTCACTGGTTATGTAAAATAGTCAAATGTAATTTTGCTTTCAAAAATGATGGGTAGAAAAAGGAGGCTTTAAGTTAGCCTGTAGAATTGCAGCTACCTCAATGAGATTTTTTTTTTTTCTTCTATTTATTGTGGGATCAGTGTAATGGGAGAGTGACCTGCCCCGGTGGATTTGGCTGTTTCATCAAGTTGCCACCAGCATTCCTAAGGAGAAAGAAACCATTTCCCCGTAGGGAAATGCTGCTTTAAGATAAAGCCACGAAACTCACAAAATTCAGGTTGTACGTTGCTGTAATTCTAAAAATACATTTTTTTTTGACTTGGGTGATTTCGTTTAGGAGAAAAATAATTAGACACGAAACTCTAAAGCTTCTGGATTTGATAAGTTTGTCAGTGGGGAAGGGACAATGCTACTGGGTTTTATTTATTTATTTATTTATTTTGAGATGAAGTCTCACTCTGTCATCCAGGCTGGAGTATAGTGGTGCGATCTCAGCTCACTGCAACCTCTGCCTCCCGGTTCAAGTGATTCTCCTGCCTCAGCCTCCCTAGTAGCTGGGGTTACAGGCATGTGCCACCACACCCAGCTAATTTTTGTATTTTTAGTCGCAACAGGGTTTTACCATGTTGGCCAGGCTTGTCTTGAACCCCTGACCTCAGGTGATCTGCCCACCTCGGCCTCCCAAAGTGCTGGGATTATAAGTGTGAGCCACGGCGCCCAGCCCCTTTTGGATGGAAGACTTTACGAAGCAAACTGTCCCTGGCATTCACAATGTTACTATTCCTGGCACTGGGCACCAAATGCCATCCCAGTTGCTGTGACAACCAAAAATGTGCCCTAGCCCCAACACTCTCAAACACCATTAGGTGACAGCAGTACCCCAGTTGAGAATGACTAGGAGGGTCTCATCAAATTCTACAAGATAACTTTATGAATTAAGAAAAAAAGATGAAAGGTGAGACATTTTCAGTTGCATGTCCCTGATAATTACTACAACAATTGAGAGATTTAATTCTCATTTTGAATTTTTACGTTTCTGTTTCTTTTAACCCTTTTCTTTCTAAATGTACATTTTTGTAAATCAAGTAATTAGAACTAAATCCAATACTGATAATGGCCATTTCAAAAACTGGTCTGAAAAGTGAATTAGAAGCTGTATAATTAATATCATCATTAGAAATTCTGCATATGGCTAATAAACATTCCTTTTAAAAATTAATAGAGTCTAAAGTCTTCCAAATGATCTTTACAGATAGAGTGAGAACACTATAAAATTCTGATTATATGATTGAGATTTCAGGGATGTTTTAACATGTTCAAACCACTAGAAGGACATTGATTTGGAA